GAACTTGGCCTGGTACCAGCCTCTTGGAGTCCCTGTACAGCAGAACAGCAAAGGGGAGGGAGAAATGGCACATAAGCCAATAAGGTGTGTTAAAGTGGAACTAAACTCAAGTTTACAGAACATTGCTGGCAGGCAGCTTTTTATTGCATTGGAGACTCTCTTCTGGCTTCTGGCTGCCAGCAATGGTTTTGTGAATGCACACTGAGCCACACATGCGCAACTCAGCGTACAATCCCACCATCTTCTGAGCACCAGGTTAAATAGAAGTAGAAGTTGCACCACCCCGGACCAGTCCAATCAAAATGGACAAAGATGCTGAACCTGGAAGAAGACTAGAAATATGAGGGATATCGCTCCTGTTGCATTACTGCAGTGTAGGGCATCTTTGCAAGTCTGCCATAATTTACAAGTATGCTGTGTGTATTTGCAAATTATGGCAAAAGTCCTCAGTTTAAAATGTAAAGAGCATGCTAATTAGCTTGCTGCTTCTCCTATCACTGTCCAGCCACAGAGTGGAGAGAAGACCTGTAAGTGAAAGTGAAACGGCAGCAGAGAAAAATCAGGTCCCCTTCTCTGCAAGGCAGGACTGTGCTTTGTGAAAGAGCTTTGTAAATCACAGTACTGGATGGGGAGAAATTTGGCAGGTTAAATAGTGCCCATATATGGATTTCATCTGTCTATAATTTTACCCGGAATGAAGCTTTAATATTTATAACTTCCAGCTGTACCTGTTTTTATTGATTTGCAAGGCAATAGCTTGCCTGTTGAAAGCGAACACTATTCCTGCCTGGTTTAGGCTGCCATGGATAAAAGTCAACCTCTTGCCCTGGTTTTCTAAGATATATCAATACATCTGCCGTGTACACAAGCACACATGGATGAGGCTATTGTAGGTGGAATGGACGATGAATGATGTTTCTTCCTGCATTAGCCTCCCTTGGTAATATCCATGTACATAGCAGACACACTAAGTCAGTGAATTCAGTATTCAGCTTTTACACTTGTCCTGCAACACACTCAGCCGTGTGCAAATGGATCACAAAAGCCTTTCTAAAACTTTATAATCGCTACATCGAATATATTTATATTTACATATATATTCGTAGTTTTGTATTGTCTTATACCATTTTGAGATGATGCAAAATATGGGAAAAGTTACAGTACTGCTGTTGTAATAGAAGCCACAGGACTTGCTCCTCTATGGTGCTACTGTCCCTTCAGCTTAAAAAAAAAAAAACTGATTTGATCATCTGGAATCAAGGAATCAAAATAATTTCTCTAATTTTCCTATTTTTTTTTTTAATATCCCCATGAAGAAATCCATTTTGAAGACTAGCCATGGTTGATAATGCAGCATATGACCCCTATATGTATTAAAGGAAATACTTTCAAACAAAACAAAATGACACTGTTTTTCAAAATAATGAAAGCGACAAGGTTAAAAAGAAAAGGGAGGAAAAAAAAAAATCTATGATTCATGTCTCTACTGCCATCTAGTGGCACTGGTCATTTACTACAGTATGAAAATCATTTTGGAGATGATCTACCTGGCTTATGTCAAATAAAATGAAATATTTTGTTTCCTGATGTTTTGAAAATGCTGTAAGACTCATATGAACATAATGTGTTCTATAATACCAGGTCTCCTGTTTTTAAAACCAGGCCCACTGTTTAGAAAAAATAGAACAAGCAGGGGTATTTTTTTCCAGCTGTCAATGCTATTAAAGCAAATGCTGTGCTGCCACTAGTGAGTGAATGTGCCACACTAGATTCTTGGCAGTGGCCCACACATAAACATGAACCTCTATATCATATAAACTTAAATGTGCCCCTCCTCCTCAGAATCTTGATACAACTTTATAATAGGGGTAATAGTTATATATCCTGTGTGCTTGGACCAATACTGTCAATTGTTTTGCATAAGTGAAATATTATTTGATTAGTATACCAATCCTGAACATCAGTTCTCCCAATATAAATCAATGCATTCAAAACATCAAACTATAAATATACATATAATCACAGTGCACTTGTATGCGAGTTTTATAGTTCCCATCTACCAATAACGACATTCAAATATTTAAAGTCCCAGTGTGATAAACTTTCCCCATCCACAGTCAATGTGAGACTAGGTGATGCCATGAAAATCTTCTTATCCGTAAAAAATTTTGTGTTGAGTGCTCCACTTGTGCCCCCCCCCCCCCCCCCCCCCGAGAGCTCCACTCACTACAAGATGATGACCATCTGCATAGGTAGGTCAAACTCTGTGTTTGGTGCTTCAGCACACTGCTGGAGCAATCTGCTGCTTGTATGATCTTGATGCCTCTATCCGCTAGTTATGGCCTCCATATGTGGAAGCTTTCCTTTGATGTTTTTTATGGTGGTGGAGTAGTGTGGATGGCCTGGAGTTTTTTCATACTGTCTTTATTGAGTAAAAAACACTTAAAATGCACTTACATATAAAGTGTGTGTATGGCACTTTTTTTTTTTTTTTTTTTTTTAAAGTGCCAAAAAAATAAAAAGCTGGAATTAGCTGATGGGTTTTATTAACCAGACCATCCACTTAAAGGGCAATCTGTTTGCAGTCCATCCCCTAAGTAGTGTCAGTCATGATCACATGACTAAATGCCTACGCACTGAGAGCCCAAAGTGTTTTTTTTCTATAGGATAGGTTAATATAACATTGACCATATTCTATACTATAGCTGTGCACAAGACAATGAAGATGCAAGAAGGAGGAAGTCATTTAGCTGTAGGCATGCTTTAAAGGAAAATTAGCTAATTGCTGTGAATGCAGAGCTTTTCTTTTTACAGAAGTGGCACTAATCTTTTAGCAGGCAGACATTACCAGTTATCGGTGAGTTTTTGGACATTATTGAAATGGACCGTTCTCTGTATCCAGAAAACAGCAGCTGCAATGATATTTGATAAAAAAAAAGTTTTGCCCATTTCCTCCCTTGCCGCTCCAATCCCTCATTGACGACCGGAATATAAACGTCAGTTTACACTATGAACTGTATATGAATCGCACAGGAACTGCATTCACATTCAATTCAGTATGGTATGATTTATATCTATATATACCAAAATCAGAATACAATATAGAAGGGATGTGTATATACAGATAATCCCTATAACTATTCACTCTATATAGTGTAAGGCCCCCAAAACTTGGGCCAACTGTAGTGACCCTAGACAAATCTTGTCTGTGTTATTCTATTCCACATGAAGCTGCTCCTAATTAAGTGTGATTAACACTTATAACATGCAAATAAAATATAAATAGATACGCGGTACATTTGCCCAAACAATAAACTTCATATAGTGCAATAAGTACAAGATTAGTACCACCTGAGGGTTATCTCTATTTTGGTCCATGCAAAAAAGTTTAGCCTACATCAGCTGGTATTCCCAGGCAGTCTCCCATCCAGGTACTAAACAGGTCTGACCCTACTTAGCTTCTGAGATCAGACAAGATCAGGTGCATTCAGGGTGATATGGCCGTGGTTGGCTAAGTGTGCTTAGACCAAAGAGATATTGTAACCTCTCTGTATAGAAATTCAACCAATAGTGAACATGTGAAGTAAATAATAAAAAAACATAAATATAATGACAACTATTTTAACTGTCCCAAAATAGGGTAATATAAAATCCAAAGAGGGTAAAAAAAAAATCAAAAAATTTGAAAAAAAAAAAAAAAAAATAAATGTGACTGTGATCCTCATGGTGTCATTTTTAATGTGCTCAAATAAGTTGTGCATGCACCAGTTTTGAAACCACACCGCATTTGGTTTGCATGGTCATTTTGTACCATGCGATTCGATGCAGGCAAGCACAGTGCATTTGCAACCTTCATTTGGGGTGTCGTTAAGATTGCACTTACACCCGACCTAGTCTCCTAAAATTGAAGGTTATTCCTCCAATGCAGTTCACTGTAGTTAGTGACTGCGGTGGGGCTCTGGAACTTGCTGCAGCATCTCATTGTGTGCTTTATTTGTCATATTGGTCAGATCTGCACTATACGCTTCTCATAATAGGATGTCAGACCAGGTTTGAGTTGTGTAATTCTACGACGTCCATTATTAACAAATGCTTGTTTCCTTTCTAGTATGGCTCATTGCTGCTTATGATTTTGTGCCTCGTGCACTGATGGGTTGCCTTTCTTTAAAGGAAACCTGTGCTTGGAGAAATATGGGCTACGATTGGTGTCCTTCTAAAAATGCTAATTGACTGGTTATCTCTGGTGTCAATATTTTGAGTTTCTAATCTGGTATAAGCATACAGCCATTGAAATCTATGTTGAGCTAGAAGGATGAACATAACAGCTAGTCAACAAGCTTCCTAAAAGATGATTTCCACAATGGCAGCCTTCAAATTTTTTTTGTAAAGGAAAAGCACTTTTTCATTTTTCAGTTCTATGTGAATCTTTCAAATGTTCGGTTTCAAACTTTTGCTTTGTCACATTATTATCACTTAAAAAGAGCACTTGTATTGAGAATGTAGGTCCACTTTAAGACCATATGTGCTGGGATGTGTAAGCAAATAGACATCTTCAAAAGGAGAATCCTAATTCTGGTTACATGTTGTTTTACCTGTCAGGCCTGTAAGTGAATATATTTACCCAGATTTTTATTATCTTTCTTTTTTGTTGAAAAGCACTCATCAGAAAATATGTTGATACTTGGGTCCCTCATCACAGAGATCCATTTTTTACATTGATAACACTATCCATGAAAAATATGATTGTTAATAGGATCCAACACCATAATGTAAGGGTAGGTTATGTAATGAAATGGAGAATCTGAATGGTTTAACCTATGTAGAAACTTTACAGTCAAGATCCAAAACAGATGCTTTCATTGGATAGCAATTATAAGTACAGTATGCCTTAACAAAAGGAGAAGCATAGTGTAATTTCACAATTGTTCTAAACCTTTTCTTTCTTTCTTTTTTAGCCTTTCATGTCTCCTCGTTATCCAGGCGGTCCACGGCCCCCCTTAAGAATACCTAATCAGGTAACTCTTATTTAAATTCCCTAAAGACTATAACAGAGGCTGTATTTGAAATAACTGCTTTGTGTAACAAGCATATTCTATTGTCCAGGGACTTGGGGGTGTTCCTGGAAGCCAGACGTTACTTCCCAGTGGGATGGACCCTTCAAGACAGCAAGGTGATGAGATGTAACCGCTTGCTATAATTACTGTATATATTATTTGCAATATTTTTAATTAGTTGCAATTATCAGCTGGAGTTGGCTGATGCGTTTTATTAACCAGACCATCAGGCTAATCTACTCTGCTTATGCGGAGATTCAAGGCTAAACATAATATCAAGTGTTTAACCTCTATTACAACAACAGGCAATGAATATTGATTTTGTATAGTATTTAACAAATCATTTCCATAAAAGGTAATGGTATTTGACAGTAGCATTTTTCTGACTGTAAACTAGAAGTGAATTGATTTGATGAGTATTTTGAGTGGCTCCTGGTCTCCAGTCTTTGTTTTCTGTGCAGTATGTGAGTCACGCTGCCATTCAGTTATTGCTGTGCTGCGTCATCACGATCCAAGGTGATGCATCCACTAACTGTTACAAGGCTGCTGTGTATAAAGGATGAGCTGGGACCCATTCACAACTGTGTGTGCATGCATTCACATGCAGTACATCTTCAACTTATGTTTTTGCATTAGGTTTTTATGCGCTGAGGCCCATTTTCTCCTGCTATTCTGCTTAGATTTAACCCTTTCTTGAGCATCAGTAATTGATGCCTAGATGCCAGGCTAAATCTAGCAGAACCAGCATGCGTTAGTTAACTTTAAAACAACTGAATAATTTCATACCCAAACATTGTTTATGTTTTAAGGCTTTTATTTACTTATTTAAACCATGTATTCATTTTAATAATGCAATTGTACCTGACAAATACACTATTAAATAAATGGCATCGCAAATCTCACCCGAGCCTGAAGATGGCAGTGTTCATCTGCAGGCTGAAGGCCTATCTATCTGGGGAGCCTCCAGCCTACATGTGATCCCTATGTCATAGTTGACATAGTGATGACATGAATGGGAATCAGTCTGGTTGGTTCCCAAATGCTTAGTCGTTGATTACCAGGATATAGAGGCAGCAGCACAAAGTATCTCCTGATGGCTTCCAAAATGCATCCCCCAGCACTGAGCATTGTCTTGGGTAACATTTAATAAACTGATTGAGGGCTAAAAGGGGTTAAATGTGGGCTGTTTCTAAAAGTGAAATTCATCTACATTACCCACTTACTTTCATTCTTGTGGGGCCCTGTAATGTTAATTTTTTTTTTTTTATTACTGCACTAAAAAAAAACATTTTGCCTGTGGTGTTGTGCAGTAAACACAAATGTGTAAATGTGTTCTGACACACAGGTGTAAAAAGGACATGATGTTTTTTAAAAATAATTTAACTGCTAATTGTCATTATATGGCGGTTCAGGAAAATTTAAACAAATACATGTTTAACTCCCAGTAACCATTTTTGCCATTTCCACAGTATTCCATAACTTCAAAGCTGCAGAAAGTAGTGTTGCGCACAGTGCAGCTGTGAGCTGCTTTAGAATAAGATTACATACTGCTTGGTCATTCTGAGTTCTCTTTTACTCCACTTGGCAATACACAGTAAAGGAAGGGCAGCAGTAAAAAAAAAATAGAGTTCTCCTTCAATTTGAAAGAATCTGAAGGCCCAGGCTCTGTTATATACAATTTTAGCACTTATCCCATCTGGTCTTTCCAGTCTTTCTTATGTACAGTCCGAGGGCTATCTTGTATTGTCTGCCTTGTAGCGAACAAAATGAATTCATAATAGTCGCTTCCTAGTACATCCCTTGAGATCCTATTACATGGAATTCTTGGGAAATTTATTGAGGTGCTTCTTTCTCAGCCACTGTTTCTCGGTTTTTCTGTCTTTCTACTTTTTCTTTCCTCTTCTTTAGTCTGTAATTCCTGTGAGTACGTTTTTGTTAGGTACACATTTACATATATATTTATACCATTGATACTTTAAGGCTGAACTCCAGGTTAGGTTTATTTTCGCATAGTTACCAGTTTGGACCAATATAAGTATGCTTGTGCAATACTGGTCTAATCCCCATAGAAGCTGGAAATCACTGTAGTAGGCATCTCTAGGTCCCGTGGTGAGCATCTGCCCTGCTGATTAGTGAATACAGAGTCACTCACTCAGCATGGGCACTATTTAGAGAAAAAAATTTTCTTAATAAATGCAAAGGGTTGTCTGATTGGATGAGGTGGGGCGGTGATGTCACACTCTTCACCTCATGCAAACACCACCTTGAGCAAATGGCAAACAAGTGACTTTCTGTGATTACTAAGCAGCTGGGCAGATGCTTGGCAAGGATATTGGAAGCCAGTGGCAATCACTGTCATGCCTGTTATAGTGATTGTTGACTTCCACATGGATCGGCCAGGTATGGCACATGCACACTGTACTTACATTGGTCCAAACTGGATCAATGTTACTATGCCAAAATAGCCATACCTGGAGTTCAGCTTTAATGATCATATACTGCTTCTATATTGTACAATACTACTATATTTTGTACATTCTACCAATCTGTTTACTACAAAATGCTGTTGCTTGGGTAAAACCGCCAGTTATGGTTGTGTTAGCCTTCTAGAATATGGACAAAATTCTCAAGCAAGAATCCTGACTAGGTCTGGTACAAGTGACCATATTACCCCTATCCTGGTGTATTTGTACTGGCTTACCCATCTTGCTCACATATAAGACTCTTTATGGCTTGGCATCCCATTATCAGTCTAAACATTTATCAACTTACTCCCCCCTCATAACCTCCACTCCTCAAATTCTGGTCTTCTATGTGTCCTCCCTACTCACCTACACTCGATGGCAGACAGAGCCTTCTCCTGCCTTGCCCCAAAAATCTGGAATTCACTTCTAAAGGACATCAGAGAGTCATCTTCTCTAAACTCATTCAAATCAAATCTAAAACTTTTTTGTTTAGACAAGCTTACTTAATTGTCCTTTTTTTCTTTTGTGTTCTCCTATATATTTCCTGTCTTTTTGCTCTCTTGTCTTTGAGAAACTATATTTAAAGGCGCTATATAAAACAGAGTATATTGCTACTATTATTATTATTATCATCACAACCCATATCATTTTAATGTATTCCAAGCCATTAGAGCTTGAGAGCAGTTTGTTAATTAGGGTAACATTTTCCTAAATTATTATCAGATTAATATTATATTATATAAAATAACTGACCATTTTGAGCAGTTATTTACAGAATTTAGAGCTTCTGACTACATGCAGCATCCTGCCACAGTGTTAGCTTTAGAGTCTTGTATTGTACTTCTACAAGATGATGCTTTTTACCACTAAGGGAAAAAAGGATGTTGGCGTCAATTCACAAAGAAGCATTATTTTACATGTGTTAAATTGTTTTGCTTGAACTTGTTCAATTCACAAATATAAATGTCAGCATTTAACCACAGGAAGCCTGTCTCTAATGATTCAGTATTTTATCTTTATCTATATATAAAAGCTGTCAATGCCAGTCACAATGGCAGCAGTACTTTTTAGGAGCAAAAATCTGTTTGTCTTTGTTAGCGGACTTTATAGGTGCATAATACCACAAACAAATACAATGCGCATGCAAACAACACAGCATCTCTTCGCAGCAAAAACTTTCCTGAATAGAAAACCAGTGATCAATAAACTAGCAAATAACATCTTAGAATTATTAAGATACTTTAGGCCTCTAAATTGAAGGCTACAATCTCATCCACAATCAGCACCCTGGAAATTTTCTACAAAGTGGCAATAAAAGAGCAGAGATATTTACAGGTATTCTCCAATTTCTGAGTATAGTTCTCTTGTGATTGGTATTTAAGTCTTGGGCTTTGGAACCTTGAGTTGCTTGAAATGCGTTGAAAATGAGGGAGTCAAACTGTCAGTGACCACTTAGGTTAGTTTTGAAGATGTGCTGAGTAATGTAAAACCATGGAATATTTTATATATATGTGTGTGTGTGTGTGTGTGTGTGTGTGTGTGTGTGTGTGTGTGTGTGTGTGTGTGTGTGTGTGTGTGTGTGTGTAAGTGTGTGTAATTTTTATTTTACTTTTTTTTTTTTTTTTCTTTAGGTCATCCAAACATGGCTGGGCCAATGCAGAGAATGAGCGGCCCCAGGGGAATGGTTCCTCTTGGTCCACAGGTAAGTGTCTGTTCAGTAGTAACTAACCACTTTTAAGTAAAGCTGGCTATACTCTGATTGAAATTTGTCCTGTTCAGCAGGGACTGGCTATATTTTGATCAGTGTTTGGCCATCCCCGCTTGACAGAAGTTGAGCATTTGATTGACTTCTGTGGAAGGGACATGTTTTCCTTGATCAGCAGCTGCAGTCATTGATCATTGTATTCTGATAGCAGCATGAGCAGCTATCAGAATACAGTGTCCCAGTGGGGGAGATTCCTCCATCCATTTCATTTGTTCGCCTGCTGAATGAAAAAAAAGCTAACAGTGTATGGCCAGCTGTAAGCCAAACTTTGCTTGAAATATTTGCATTTAGATGACCAACTTTAGGCATGCCTCCCCCATTCATCCAAAGTTATTAGCATGGTGTTTTTCTTTGTGTAAGGTACGGATAGTGACATGTACGTATTTATGTTCATAATACCATATATGTCTACTGCCATTTATAATATTGATCTGAGCTATCTTAAGTGATTCCAGGAGTAGTACCAATTTAAACTGTTGTAGCAGTCCAGGATATAAAAAGGCTGCTTTCACACTGAGGAGTTTTTGAAGCGTTTTTGTGTTTAAAAAAAAAAAAAAAGCGCTCGAAAAGCTCATGAAAAATGCTTCCTTATGTATGTGTATGTATGTTTTCACACTGGGGCGTTTGTGCTTCAGTTCCAGTGGAAAAAACCTACTTGCAGCATTTTTGGAGCAGGTTTATTCAGTAAAAAAAAAAAACGCACCAAACACGCCTCTTCCCATTGAAATCAATGGAAAACGCCTCAAAACACACCTGAGAAGCGTTTTTGGTGCAGTTGTTAATGTCCTTAAAAAAACGCATCAAACGCACGGTAAGAATGCAACAAAACCACATATGCATTTTTGCAGCAGATCAGTGTTAAAGTAGCCAAAGGTTTAGCCAAGAAGAAACAATCTGTACAAAATTTTCTCTCTTTCCTGCACTCACAAATTTCAAGAGCAGTAAGGAAAATGACAGACTGTAGCACTTGCTTTGTTGACATAAAGTGGGCATTATGAGGTAATACTGCGCCTTACTGCCAAGGGGCCAATTCATATTATTAACTCATTTAATGCTACTTATGTATACAGTATATGATAAAAGAACCTTGATGTACGGTGGCAAGCAAAATTCTTGTTCTAGCATTTGCTTCTTTAAAAGGCTGTATCACACTGCCACACTAGGCTTCAATTTTGACCAGACTAGGATTCTAGTTCTATTTCAATATCTCAGACATAATATAGTATAATGTAATATATTAAGCATCAGAGTTCTGCATCCTCAGCTATTTTCAATATGTGACACAGTGTCTTTACTTTCTGTATATTCTGTATATTCAGCCACTGTCCAGATGACAATTCCTGGGTTGTCATTAATGTACTCTCCTTTGTTTCTCCTTTCCTCTTTGGTTTTGTTTTGTGGTAGTCTGACCCTTGGTTATCATTACAGAGCTACGGAGGAGGAATGCGACCACCACTCAATGCTCTTGGTGGTCCAGGGATGCCTGGAATGAACATGTGAGTGATGACCTCAAATACTCATGACCTTACTGGCATTCTGATTATATATTTTAACATTACATAGTTGTGGTAATGTAAAGGAGGTTGTGTAGAAAAAAAGTATAGGTATTTTGGCGCTGGAGGGGTGTAGCCAAAGTAACTTAAAAGCCCAATAAAAAGTTCAATAGCAAGTCCATAAATAAAGTCCAACTTATAGCCAGGAAAAATAAGGGGAGAAGGCTTGTTGGACAGGCTGTGGTTGTTCACGGGGGGGCAGTGGGCAATAAATGGCAGCATCAGCGGTAGCACCCTTAGAGTAAAGCTGGACTCTGTAAGCAGGGAAAGAGAAAATAGGGGCGCCAAACTAAGTGCAGCATTATTAGTAATTTATTGCAGGGTTAAAATTATTAGCAGCTCCCTAGACATAAGTTGGTAAAAGGCATGTCACCATCGTACGGGGTCCTGAAGGATCCAGGAGCCGGTATGCAGCACAGCGAGTCTGGGCATCCGCATGGTGGGACCTGCTCTCAGCCACCATCCAGACTCACTGTCCTGGATCCTTCAGGACCCCGTACGATGGTGACATGCCTTTTATTATCAACTTGCGTCTAGTGAGTTGCTAATAGTTTTAACGTTGCAATAAATTACTAAAAATGCTGCACTTAGTTTGGCGCCCCTATTTTCTCTTTCCTTGTGTAGAGACTGTACAATTAGATTGCATGACTAGCTTAATAGTGTCACTCCTCATGCTGCAATAAAGAGTTTTTTATAATATAAACTAAAACGGTTATCAGGGAGAGTGATAGCAATGAAGATCTCAGCACCCTTGCAGGCTGTATGACTCCTGTGTCTTGGAGCTCCTACCAAGGTTGATTTACTAAAGGCAAACAGACTGCGCACTTTGCAAGTGCAGTTGCATTCTGCTTCTCTTTACAAAGAATAACCAATCGCATGCATGGAAAATTTAAAAAACCGCATTTTTACTTGCATATAATTGGATGATGGAAGTCAGCAGTGCTCCCCCTCATATACAAAGCTTTAGAGTAACTGCACTTGCAAAGTGCACAGTCTGTTTGCCTTTAGTAAATCGACCACTATATTACCACAGTGCCTGAGAAAATAGTTTTAACCTTATCAACTCACGGCATCTTTTTTTTTTTTTTTTTTTTTTTTTATACATTTAATTATTGTTAAAATATTGGTGAGGACACCAGTAAGATGATCTCCCCACTGTAGTTCCCAGCTTTACAAACCTTTCTCCCCCCAGTCTTACTCCTTTTGCTCTATTAACGTCTTAGCATTAAAAAGCCAGGGTTCTTTGATGTACCGGCATCTGCCAAGAACTGAAATACCTGTTTTGGATAGCCTGACTCCTTAAACTGCTGATTTTTGTCATATGCAGCAATAATGATAACTTTTCTTTGTGGTAATGAAATCGTATAATAATTTTGATACAACAATGCTGCTGAAAGTTTGCTATCTTCACACTTTGAATTTGACACTTGAAATCCAGGAATGGTGCCAGAGCTAGGTTGTATTGCTGGAATAAAGCACAAAAGGTTAATTTTCTGCTGTCATGAATGAGCTCGTAGTTGAAGAGGAGTGCGGCAGGAATCATACGCATGTCTGTACTTGATGAATTGCCTCTAGAATGACATGATGGGACAGGATATTAAACGTAATGTATGCCCAGCAGATAATTTACCTTGGGAATGAGGCGTTTTTATGATGTGGGAATTGAGCAGACTTTGGTTCCATATATGACCTGATGTGTCTGAAGACTGAGAGATGTATTCTTCTTCATTTGTTTCTTAGGGGACCTGGAGGTGGAAGACCGTGGCCCAACCCTGGCAATGCAAATTCAGTAAGGATACCTGTTCTCTTATTAAACATTGATACTGCCAGTGCTGTTTTTTTTAGTCTTGGTAATGATCTGAATGTGGTGATTGCATTGCCTCTTGTAGATTCTACAGTAGACCTATCTGCTTCATTTGCTTTAAGAAGGTACATCTCTGTTAAAGAGAGCTTGAACTCTGGAAGCTGTGTTAGAAAAGGAAAGTAGAGGACAAAGATCTAGTTATCAGTATAATCATTGGGCTCCCTACAGATGATCGAATTCCAATACAGACGTACCAAGGCTTGCTCCACACTTTCTCTGTTCTGAGGTGCCCTCTTGGTAGAGGAAGCTGTGCTTTCTCCTGTCAGATGGCTGGTGATGTGATAACTGGTGAAGTAATTGTCAGTAAGCAGTACGAGAGGTTCAGAAAGCACAGATCCATATAATAAATGAAGCAGAAGCAGGGAGATTCTTGCTCACAACTTTCTCTCCAGCAAGGAAAATTGTGAACAGCACATTGGTGATGTCACCAAACATCCCCTTGCCCAAAATCTTGTTAAACGATCAGGTAGAGGTAGGTTGATGATCCTACACCTCAGATATACAACTATGAGGCTGTAGGCATACAGGTTTCTTGCCCAGAATTACACCTCTATATTTCAGGAGAAATTCAAGGCGAAGGGTGAATCTTTCAGTCTACTGAAAGGTTGCAATTAATATTTCTATATGTTCTGTATAGGATAGCAGATCTTCTCTTTTTTTTTTTTTTTTTTTTTTTTTTTTTTAAATTCAGGTTCACTTTTAATATAATAATTAGAATGTAAAGTCACACAGGGATACACCTTACCTGCTTTATTTATCTATTTTCATTCTGACATTCTAAATTTGTGTGGCTGCTAGTACTGGTATATTCTAAATGGCCCTTAATTCAGGTCTACAATTATGTTTAAAGTGATTCTAAGCTCAAAAGTTTTGTTTTGTTTTTTTACCATAATGCATTCTCTGCATTAAGGTAAAAAACACCCCACTACCTGTTCTAGCCTCCCCATCCCTACACCCTGGAATCCTGTCACTGATCCAACGCTGCCCGACACACACAGAGCCCTGCTCAGGAGCACCTGCACACAGGTGCCTCCATAGCACATGGCTTGCTGTGGAGGCACTCGGAAGGAGGAGTGGACAGCACTAGCAGTGGACTGCCAAAGAAGAAGCAAGGAACCGCTCTGTGCAACATTGCTGCACAGAGCAGGTAGGTAAAATCTCCTTGATTTTAGCAAAAAAAGACCCTTTTAATATCACTTTAAGTGTTCCCAGTCTACCATCCTATGTAGTTTTTAAACAGCAAAGTTGTATTGCACATGAGGTTGCATTCTATCCTGAAGCATGGTGAAAAACATCTTAATTAAACAAATACTTTGACAAAGTATTTGAATTGATGCTATTTCTCATCAATCAGAAACAGGCCATGGTTTTGTCCACTCTTGTGTGTTTGTACCCCTATTTGCATTGTATATTTTTGACTGTGATTTTACTTAAACAATAAAAATTCTATTCATTTCTAAATTAGACAAATACCTAGATTAAAAGTAAATTCAGTGCACAATCTAGTTGCAATGGTTACTGGCTACTATTTACAATTTACTGATTTAAGCTGGCCCTAGATGTATAGAATTTCAAAGTAAACTTGTTACTAAAAACCTTAGGCAAATTTGTATAGAAATTCTCAGAACATGTGAATGTTGTTCAAAAAACTATTTTTGTTTATAACCACTTGCCCTCTGGAAGATTTACCTCCCTTCCTGTTCAGGCAATTTTTTGCTATACGGCGCTGCGCTACTTTAACTGACAATTGCACGGTCATGATACACTGAAACAAAAATGATATAAATTTAATTTGTGTACAAATAGAGCTTTCTTTTGCTGGTATTTGATCATAGCTGGGTTTTTTTTGTGTTCTAAATGAAAAAAAACTGAAAAAAAACAATATTTACGTTTTGCTATAAAACATATCCTATTTAAAAAAAAATCCTTTATAAATTTAGACATAATTTATTCTGCTATGTCTTTTGGTAAAAAAAAAAAAAAAGCCCAATAAGTGTATATTAATTTGGTTTGTTTGAAAGTTATAGCATCTACAAATGGCGGTATATATGATGGAATTTTTTTTTTTTTTTAATTATTATACTAGTAATGGCGGCAATCAGCGACTTATTGTGGGACTGTCGTGAGCATTCTGACACTGGGTGGGAACTGACTAACTACCACTGACATCTCCAGTAACATTAATACAGTGATCAATGATAATAAAGAGCACCGACACTGTGCTAATGACACTGGGCAGGAAGGGTTAACATCTGGGGTGATCAAAGGGTTAACTGTCTGGTAGGTAGTGTGATTAAAGTGTACTATGTTATGTTTTACTTGTTGATGTGCTTGATTTTATCTCCCTGCTTTGCAGAGAGATAAAAAGCAGCACGTCTTTGCTGACAGTAGAGAGATCTGTGATGTTTACAGTCACAGATCTCTCCCCTGTCAGCTGCTCCACCGATCACCAAGTCCTGGCCATGAATTGCTGGCCAGGACCCAGTGATTTACATCTTCAGGATCCAATGACAGCACGGGTAGAGCAGCACGTGCACCCCCTACCCGTAAATGCAAAATCACATATATTTACGTGATTTTGCACAGAGCGGCCACCCTGTTGCAGTAAAACTGCTATAGGCTGGCCAGGAAGTGGTTAATATCTGATTTTTTAATCAATGGACTTTACCAAGCAAAAACCAAATACACTATTAGAAATTTGTTCATGAAAAATTTTCCATTCTAGTCCTTTAAATTTTCACAGCACTGCAGTTGAAAATGAATATCGATTTGACCCATTAATGATTAGAAAAACAAAGAAAATTCTTCTCCTAAGCATTTTCGTTCGAAATTCTCCCCATCTATGGCCAACTTAACTTTACCTGTAAGCACTTGACACCAGCAAAAATAAAACATATTTGGCAGCATAAGATCTAATTAGGTTGTGTCTCTAAGCACACCCAGCTCCTATAAAACCCCTTTTGTTGTTAATCTTGTCTGGACAGAGACAGGTTACAGAAAGACGTCTTTTGCAATCACTGGCAGTGAAATGCAGCCACGTGGGCAAAATTCTCTGTAGTGACTCTCACTTTCCCTACATTAGTCCCTTTATAGTGAATTACTAGATCAACTCCAGTCAAAAATCTTTTTTATTTGTTCTTTAATTTGTTTTTGGTAGCAAAGTTACAAACGTTTTATTGCTTTGTCCTCATCTGGGAAACTTCTCTTCACTTCCCCAGGACGGAAAGTGACGGAAGATCTTCAGTGGGTACAAACCTTTTTTCTTCATTCTTAAGTGTTTTTTTAATCTTCTTTCTTTTTTCTGGACATGTCTTCCGACACAGTCCTTCCCTGGTATAAAGGCAGCTACTCTCACTACTATACACTTTAAGCCAATGAGCATTTAATATTTGTGCACTACACACTGAACTAATCTGGCTAACATGAAGAATATGTCTTGCAAACAACATTATACAAAAAGGAAACCAATCGATAGATGTTGTCTCTGAGCAATAAAAGAGTAACTTTGATTTTTATTTGCTTTCAGATACCTTACTCATCTGCATCTCCTGGGAATTATGTAGTAAGTTCATCTGGTGCTGTTTGCTCATTGGAATTGATGTTACATTTTATTTTAGTCAAAGAAATACTTATCCAGATGTTAAGAGGAGCCCTTGTGTATTGTGTGCACAGTGAACATCTGAGCCATGTTCGGCTGTTTTGTCTGTCGTTTAATATGCATATGTTGATATTCGTTTGAAGAACCGTTACCAATCTGTGCACAGATGCAGGGAGAGCCAGGCTTAGCTACATAATACCATCCACCGCAATAAGTGTGACTGTTAAAAGGTACTTCAGAATCATTTGCAGCAATGAGGTATTCAAAATCTGAAGAGTCTAATGTGGTCAGTTTATTGGAACCAGTAAATGTACTGGCACATAATCCTTAAAAACAAACCATACATTTTTATGCCCATAGGATCATTGCTTCCACTTGTATACATTTTAAATCTGTTTTCATCACACTAAGTAATGTGAAGTCACAAGGTAAAACATGAAAAATCCAAACTAAGATTCTAGCAGTAGAGAAAATATTTGAAGAAACAGACAAAAGGGGCATTCATGAACCTTGGGCAGGCTGAAAGCATGGCTTTTTCTGGGTTTCATGTATTTGTTTCCAAAGTGCATATTTATCATTGGTTTAAAAATGAAGGCATACACACTTTTCACTGTTTTTATGAAGTAAATAGCAAAATAGTTTTCTAGATGAGTAAAGGGTTTTTTATAATGTAAGAGGTTTTCCGAAAGCATTTTAAGCCCTAACCTAATAGTGTATCATGTCTCCCTATGCCAAGTCTTTCAACATGCTTTTAAGCAGGGCAAAGCGACAGGTTCACTTTAACAGCTGCCCCACTTATCTCTCAAAGCTGGTCCATTCATCCACTTGGAGTGAGAGGCAGCCCTTTGTAATGGCGTGTCTTGGTGCTTACACAGGGCTAAGGACTCTTTCCTTGTCCCCATGTCATAGAGCTGGGTGCCTGAATGGGGATTCAGTAAGCACCATCAATGCCATGTAAGAGAAAGGGGAGTGACTTATTTTCTGCCAATCCTTGAATGTTTTCCCTGCTCTTGCCACCAAATGCATGGAGGAGAGAATAAAACAAAAAGACATTAGGTGCCGCTTCAGGTCCCCAATCTTATTATCTTTAGTGACTCGCACTAAAAGGGTGCTTGGATGAAAAGAGCCCATCCCAGCTCAATGTACACACTAAGCAAGAATGTCCAAACGCTGCATGCCACCAAAAGCCCAAGTGTACACAAGTAACAGTGGCTTCATCCTGGCTCCATCCAGGCCACAACACTGGCTTGTTTTGGCCCAACCATAGGGCTTACTAATAAGCACTGTAGACGGGGCGAAATGTGTCATTGGCGTGACCTGGATGAAACAGGGCTGAAGCTGCTTTTATTTGTCTACACCTGGGCTTTTGTTGGCATGCAGCATTTTAACGTCTTCCTTGTTGGAACAGAGCAAAGGGCAATAGCAGCTTGCGGGGTCACTGTGTAGTGAACATATAACTTTAGCCTGTGTTCACATATGTGTGTGTTTGCATGCGTGCATTGTGGATACAACAGCCCATTCATTTGAATGAGCTGCTGTACCCATGAGAAACACAGAGAGAGAAGTCCCCGACTTGTTTAAAAAAATCAAAATGCACAGATGAAAACACACTTGGGTGCTAGTGTAATTAAGAATGACTGATACCCCCCTGTGGGGCTGCTAACGAGCAGCACATTTTTGTTCAGGTCGGGAACACACATGGTTAGTCACACATTCCCAACCGGCACATATGTAAACCTAGTCTTACTCTGCTTGGACAAAGAACAAGGGTACTTTAGGTTTGCCCAAATAAAAACCATAATAATGCTCTGCCAAACAAGGCTTAAAGGATACCAAAAACTACATTTTTTTTTTTCGTTTAGCTGTGGATAGCATGGTGAACATTTTGAATCTGACAGGTTTTTATTGCTGTCTGTGTGCTGACCAAGGAGATTTGCTCAATCTATTTGTCCAAGTAACTATTGATACCAGGACTAAAAATGAAGTGAAAATCCAAGTTGCGGTGTGTCACCAGAACAAAAATAGAGGGAAATTTTTCCAGTGGGGACTTTGGCTGCTGTGATTTTCCATACTTTAGACAAAACTTACTGTTGTGGCTACAGGACACAAGCTGAAGGGATTTCTCAGCAATAAGCCATAGACAGGAAAATAAAAACTGACAGGGGTTTAAGCCTTCCCTACTCTATGCATTTTGGCATTAGATAAACATTAGTACCAGCCATCTTCAACTCAAGCAGTATAAGTATTCAGTCTGTTTATTCCCAATAAATATGTCTTGTATTTTTCTGTATTACATATAACTGCAGGCACTGACTTGTCTTGTGTCTTCTTCACTGCAGGGTCCTCCTGGTGGTGGTGGTGGTCCTCCTGGCACACCTATTATGCCCAGCCCTGCAGGTACAGTTACTACATCTACCTGTGTTAAATACAGCTGACCTAACGTAAAAAAGCAGAGAAAAGATATTGGGGTTGATTTTCTAAAGCTTTAGAGTGCAAAATCCTGGTTCAGCTGTGCACGATAGCCAATAAGCTTCTTACTTCAGCTTGTTCAATTAAGCATTGACAAAAAAACCTGGAAGCTGATTGGACTCTATGCACAGCTGCACAAGATTTGGCACTCTCCAGTTTTAGTAAATCACCCCATTGCCTGTTCCCGTCAATTTTGTGATAGAAAAGCAATGCAAGCAGCTACCCACCTGCTATGGAAACACCTAAATTTTCCCCCTCTACACCAGCAGCAAAACCACATTGAAGATATATAAAAAACAGAGGGAAACTAATGTGCTATTTCTGGCAATTATACTTTTAAATATAGATCAAATATTTCCTTTGCTCTTAAAAATTATTCTTTATTTATAACCAGTATTTATAAACACAGGTTTGTAGACTACACTGCACAGCATAGTCTTTGCTTTTCCCCTCTCCTCCTTTTCTAAAGGTGACCGTTTCATGTTTTTATGAAGATCTCACTTTAATCAAATTTAATTTCACTGCCAGGGCCTGTCTTCCCTGAGTAATGGGCTAAATCCCACCAGCTGCCAATGGACCAAAATAAGCGGCCTTTGTTGGCCACCAAAAGACATTGGGCAGTTGTTGAGACTTGGTCCTGCAGTTGGGGAAGTTAGCTCCAGTAACAAAGCAAAACTTGGCTAGTGAATGTAATGCAGGCATTATGTGGTGTCCAATCCTAGGCCTGATTACTACCTTTAAACATATGGTTCACGTAAATGGTCATCCATGTTTCACATTCAGTTGCAATAAAAACATGCATATCTTTTGACAACCTTTCATATGTGACCATTTGATTTAAAAAAAATAAAATGCTAAACATAATACGAAGATGCTGGCTAGATAAACGTTACTTGCGTTATTTGCATATTTATTTTATTTGCATTTGGCAGATTCTTAATATAATGAATAAATGAAACCTTGCTTTAAGGTGTAAGATTATTAAATGTCATATGTTTACTTATGTTTCAGATTCTACAAACTCTGGAGACAATATGTACACATTAATGAATGCAGTACCTCCTGGCGCCAACAGACCTAATGTAAGGACTGGTTACAGAAGGGGGTCACCTAGTCAGCATATTTTTATTGATTAGCCTTTAATGCTAGCCATACATTATACAATTTTTCCTTATTCAATCCTTTAGATTTACCTTCAACTATGTAGTGCAAGGGCCTGCTTGATTGCATACAAATTTAAATGTTAAAGTGTGAGCTTATATTGGATGGTTTTGGTAAATCTATAGGAAAATTATATAATGTCTGGCCAGCCTTATTGTATTGCCCTAGACAGAATGTAAGAACCTACCAGATATTTCATGAAATGTCCCCTTGTTGTTCTCTTGGGACATGCATTGCAGCGTATGAAGTTATAAGTAGCAATCCTGGAAAGACATGAGCAGTTGATAATAATAACCACATGTATGGAGGTTAGGTGAGTGTTGATGTTGATTGGGGTTATCAATGCAAACCAAATCATGCACAAGGCTAAATCCATTTAATGCTGAACATTTACACCTTCAGGCTCCTATGGTCAAAATCCATTTAAATGTAATTACTGTGTCATTCCCCCTTTTCCCATGGTGACTACTATGGAAAGCTATAGTTGGAGACTCTACCATGGGGGGGAGGGAGGGGTTTATCACTGTGCTGTGTAGCCCCAGTTGTAGGAAGCAAAAAGGAAGAGACAAACCTCAGCACTTTCAGGTAGTGCTGAAACTTTGCCTATATAACGGCCTGAGATTTGCCTCTAGGTGCCTGCACTTTATACCTGTAACAGGTAGCCCTCTCTACCCTAGTAACAGTCTCTTTAAGATAGAAATACTAGAGCTCCAGGGCTGTCATTATCTGCACTTTAGAACTTTGTCAGTTATTAGGATAATAGGATTACAGCCATTAGCCATTGAAGTGCTGGGATACCTGAAATGCATATTGGTTCCAAGTCAGTGTATTGCCAAGAAGTGATCCATAGCAAGCATGAAGATTGCAATGTTCCAGGGATGTACCTCAGAAAGTATGAAATGTGTATCAAAGTCAGGTAGCTAACATTTTCAGAAACAGAGTTCAACAATGGGAGTCTCAGCACTCTCCCCACAGGTGTCTTTTAAGCCTATCTGTAAGTTCTCCATCTGAACTGTAAGAACTGCTTGTTGGAAGGTTTCGAAGCATGGAAACCCATACCAGTACACAATGATCTCCTCAAAGTGGAAACTCCTTCAAATGTTTAATACAAGTACAGTATTTTCAAGCCCTCCCATGTAATCATAAGTAATAGAATGTGAAACTGAAGTCTGTTCACCAGGAGTATCATGTATAAACGTTGGAGAATGGTGTCAGCCCAGAACATTATCTGTGCTACAATAGAAACATTGCATCTTAATTCTGGTTGCTGCAGACAGAATACAAAAAGTAGAATTTCCCCTGAAGTCTAGGTAATTTTATGATTGCACAAAATTCCCAATTTTCTAAAACATTACAAATGTTTCTCTGTCACTAAATTTAAAAAGTTTAAACTTCAACATATCAGTAACTATGCTCCATATAACCATGTATTGCAAACTACAAGTAAAGTATGAGTAAGCTGTAACCCAAATGTTTGAACATCCCAAGTATAATTAAATTCATATGAAATGCTATCAATATCCATCATAGTTACATATAGTTACATAGTCGGGCTGAAAAAAGACAAAAGTCCATCCAGTTCAACCATTACAAAAAAAAAAAAGTTATAATCTTACACCCACAGTTGATCCAGAGCAAGATAAAAAAAACCCCCAGCAAAGTATGATCCAATTTGCTCCTGCAGGGAAAAAAATTCCTTCCTGATCCCCTGAGAGGCAATCGGATATTTTCTGGATCAACTTTACCTATAAAATGTTAGTATCCAGTTATATTCTGTGTATCCAAGAAAGACTCCAAGCCTTTTTAAAGCAGTCCACTGAGCTGGCCAGAACCAACTCTTGAGGGAGTCTATTCCACATTTTCACAGCTCTGACTGTGAAGAAACCTTTCCGTGTTCGGAGATTAAATTTATGTTCCTCCAGACGTAAAGAGTGCCCCTTTAATCATGCTGCAGAATATTTAACATTCTAATATTTGTCATTTGGGATCTAGGAGAAAATTTGCATACATTTTAATTTGTTTTTTGTTACTAAGGAACATGGAACCAAAAAGTTAAAAGATAAGTTCACCTTTAAAAAAAAATAAATAGATGCAGGAGCAGCAAAAGCATTGCACCAGAAATCAGCAAATTGATGGTGCCAGTGTAAGCTGTCTGCCCGTACATCATATGGGCAGGCAGTTTCACACTGACAGGAATGATCTACCACAGTGGTCAACAGCGCTGTGGTAGTTCATTGAGAAGCCGACAGCTGGAAAGGATGTCGGTACTTGTAGTTGATTCATTCACAGAACATGGACAGGCTCTTTTCAAAAAGTGACAGTTGGTGAGAGTGGGAGCATGTTACACGTTCCACCCTTAAAACAAGTGGAACATGTAACATGTTCCCAATGATGAACTTATCCTTTAAAGCAGGACTTTACCTATAAAGGTGAGTTCCACTCCCCCCCCCCCCCCCCTCCCAAACAACTCTACTTGCCCGCAACCTCCTGGGACATGTCTCAAGCCCCAGAAGGCTTCGGGGCCATTCTAAAAGCGTAGCATATCTCACGCATGCACGGTGGGAAGCATCTATGAAGCACCAGGAAGTCACAGCCAGCTTACCACATCCAAGATGGCAGCTCTGGGACCCAAAGACCAGTGAAGAACCGATCTGGGTGAGGACAGCGCTGGATCCTTGGACTGTTAAGTGCATGTTTATTGAGAGTCAACTGCTACAATAATTTTAGCTTTCAAGTTTTAATTTTTTTTCTAGAGCGAAATCCCTCTTTAAAGTGTATGTGTTTTTTAACTGCGCTATAGCCAAAAGATGGCTACAACGTGGTTGTTCAGTTCTGGGAGGGCGACCATGGACGTCCTCCCAGAACGCGCCCCCTGCGCGCCATCAGCGGCGCACACCCAGCGCTGTTGGTGAACGTTGTGTCCCAGGGACACTGCTGATCACGTGATAAGGTAAAAGGCCAATTACAGTGGCCTTTTACCATGTGATCAGCTGTGTCCAATGACACAATAGATCACAATGTAAATACAGTTGCCGGTTATGGGCTGCACTTTCCTCACTCTGTCACAGCGTGAGGAAAGTACTGCCTATAACCAGCAAATGTGATAGGGGAGACCTGCACTAATAAAACTGATTATCAGTGCCGCCCAGCAGTGTTGCCAGTCAGTGCCCTCTATCAGTGCCTCCAGTCAGTGCCCATCAGTGCTGCCTATCAATGCCAATCATTGCTGCATATCAGTGCATCATCAGTGCCTCCTCATCAATGCCCACCAGTGCCGCCTCATCAGTGCCGCCTATCAGTGCAGCTCATCAGTGCACATCACTGAAGGAGAAAAATTACCTGTTTGCAAAATTTTATAATAGGAACAAAGAAAATCTTTTTTTTTTTTCCAAAATTTTTTGCTCTTTTTTCATTTACAGTGCAAAAAAAAACCCAGTGTCGATTACCACCAAAAGAAAGCTCTATTTGTGTGAAAACAATTATAAAAATTTCATAGGGTACAATGCTGCATGACCGTGCAATTGTCTATTCAGATTGCAACAGCTCTGAAAGCTGAAAATTGGCCTGGGCAGGAAGGGGGTAAAAGTGCCTGTAGGCAAGTGGTTAATTAGGTGTGAAGATTTGTAATGTTTTAAAAATGTGGGCAGTCATGTGACATATTAGATTACCCAGACACCAGGAAATAGTGGTGAAGACTCCAAGTCACCATACTTAACAAATATTGCAC